TGAGAAGATGAACAGACTGCTGTTGGGAAAGGCCAGGACAGTTAAAAGTCCAGGGGTATGGTCAGCTAGGCTCTAATGACCTTGAGACATCTTTACAAAGTCTCATCTGGACTTCCTTAAATTTCCTGAAAGATCACCTAGATTTCCAAGGCCAGCATGAGGAAAGAGGAATAGACTACTCAGAAATGGGAAAGGTAAAGTCCCACTCTTCTTTGAGTGCAGATACAGGTCTGGGATTTGAGTTACCACAAGAGAGGAATGCACAAAGCAAAGAAATTGGGTGTTTCTGATAAGCTGTGTGACTTTTTTTTTTTTCCCATTGTGATGTGGAGAATGATAGTTCCTGAAAACATCTTGGGAAAGACAGTGCTACACTCAAAATATGCTCTGCCTGCCCTCTAGACATGCTAGGTCTTCCTGTAAGTGATGGGAGAGAGGGAGGAACTATTGATTTTTCCCTGGTGAGCTTGTCCATTTGTAGTATCTGCCTTTCAAAAAGTAATATCACACTGTAAAATCTGAGTCCATAGCAGCCTTCCTTACACAGTCCTTCCTGTTTAGTGTGAGCTCTGGGTATCTGGTGTGGTATTGCTTGACAGGGGCTGCAACATCTGAAAACACATTTCTCTCAGAAGCTTTTTCACGGCCCTACTTTTCTAGTGGTACCTGCAATAAACTTATCTTCTTAGATATGCAGGTGAAAACTGGTTGCTCATTTTATACAAAAATCTGGTTTCAACCATCTGTGTTCTTTTTGCCTTTTAACAGCTAAGATCTGTCAGGTGGGAGCTCTCCCACTTCTTAGCTGTTCCCAGACAGTGTACTGCAATTTTGGCACCCCAAATAACAAATCAGAGGGAGAGTTGTGTAATATATATCTTCTTTGTGCTCTATTAATCATAGAAATTAAATTTAGTTCTTCATGCCTGGAGCAACTTGGCAAGGGGACATGGAGGCAAGAACACACTTTGTAAATAAAATTGTTAAACTGAGTACAAAGTTCTGTATGGCCTTTCATGGGTGCACACTCCTGGGACTAC